GCGGTTGCGAGCAAATTCACACTCTCCCCCTTTCTCTCTCTCTCTCTCTCTCTCTCTCTCTCCCCCCCCCCCCATCTCCCTCTCTCTCTCTCTGTATGTATATGTATATATATGAAATTTTTGGGATAATTTACTCTTGGGATGTCCCCTAAAGTAATAGTATTTAATTTTTTAAATTATGTTCTCTAGTTCTATCATCTCATAAATATTAACAAGGTGTTTGCCAGTCTTGCCTCTAGAGAGTATACCAAGCTGTTTTTTAAAGGCCACTTTTCTTATGTAACTAGTGCTGAAGTTGATACAATTGATATTAGTCTCGTTCCTTTTACAGTAGAAATCCAATGCTTTTAGGAAAACCTTGAAGAAAATTGTTCTTGAAGTAAACTAAATGGCTTTTGCACCTGATAAAAACAAAATGTCAAATTCTTCATTTATTCTCCATTTATAAGAGTTGTAAACATCTTGATGACAACAACTGATCATGTTTTCTATTTCTACACAGGAATGTTTTTAACCCATTTTATCTTCAGTCTTATTTTTGAGCTTTGTAACATTTCTAAATTGTATCAGATATTTGTGTTCATTGTGTTCTTTAATTTTTCTTAAGCTCTCTGAAATCAAATGGATACATCCAGCAGTACAAGTAGGTCCTACTAGAAAAAAATTAGTAATTTGGCCAGAAAGCAGATTGAAGCCTTGGAACTACATAGTGGTTGAATGATGATAATAAAACACATTTTCCCTGGAAGACAACTTTTATCAATAACCATATCTTATTACAAAGCCCATCTGATTATTTTTTTCCTGCTTTTCTGAGATTAAGCTCTTTTTACCCAGAGGCATTGCTTCTGTGTATTTGGGCTTCCTGCAATTTAGATTTTTTGTGAGGCTTGAAACCTGTCTGGGAACAGCCTTTCGGAGCTTCACTAAAACTTTCTCAGAAGCCTCATGAAATCCACATATCTTTCAGACTTGGGAAAAGATACCAAACATGTCCTTTCAATTCTGAAAGGACTGATTAGGCATGCTACCAATTTAAACAAAAATGTGGAAAGGATAAAAAGCTTTCCTAACTTTTCAATCCCTAAAGGAGAGAGGGTATCCTGTGCTCAAGAGGCTGAGCTATGTTTGTCTATAGTCAATTCAATACAGTTTTTAATAAACTTTTCTGTTAGAAAATGTAAAATCACTTAAAAATAAAAGATCAATGTGCCACCAACTGTGTGACTAGGGTTTATGCTTAATACTGAGAGGGGAAATCAAACTGACTAGTTTACAGGATGAAGGGTAATACTTAGAATGAAAGGTGCTTCTCTCCTATCTCATTTATCTCGATTTGTATTTGCTTTCATCGTACATTGAGTTGTCTGTCCTTGTGGTTTTATGCTCAATAGTGGTTTCCTTTGGTGTTTTACATTCAGTTTTGAACCCTCTTATCCTCCCTTGGACCAGTTACTGAGTATAGGATTTCATTTAGATGGGGACAATTCAAATTTTTTTTTTGAGTCAGTCAGGATTAAGTGACTTGCCCAGGGTCACACAGCTAGTAAGTGTCTGAGATTGGATTTGAACTCAAGTCCTCCTGACTCCAGGGCCAGCGCTCTATCCGCTGTAGCTGCCCTGACAATTCAAACTCAACAAGAATTCTGGATGGTAAGTGTAGGGAGCTCCTAGAATGACGGGGTTGAAAGGCTAGACATAAAAAATAATTTTTATCCAACTTCTAACATTCAAAACTGTGAACACAAACACAGAAATGTCCTTAATTGCAATTCGTGATCCTGTGGTACTTGCAAAAAATGAATACATTTTCATGTCTTTGAAAAGCAAGACTCAAATCACATAAGTGTGAGATTGTGATATTGTGTATCTTTGTCATGTATGTACATATGTGTATATGTATATATTTATACAACAGGCATGTCAGTACTGTTGCTGTTAAGTAGTAAAGCAACAATAAAACTTGATTCTAACATGACTTCTTCAAACTTTTGATTTGACAAATGGAAACAAGGACACTATCCTTAGACTGTTTCTTCCATCTTCAAGAAAAGAAGAAAAATTAAATTTCTGTGAAACAGCTATACATGTGTCAATCCTGTTGTGTAAATAGAATGCTTGAGTGAGAGAAATCCATGACAGACTGGAGAGCCCCTGCTGTTAGTTTACGTGTAGATTCCCCGGGGTTCTTCCCAGTATTAGAATAGATGCATCCCGGGACAGGAGATGCTCAGGTCCATCTTTTTCACTGTATGGTCCAGTGGCTTATTCTGCCTACAGGGAAAAACTGCTATTTGGAGTATATTTGGTAGGCTTTAAGAACTGGAAATGAGTTGTGTTGGGCACAATAATAGTAATTATCACTTAACACCTTTCTTTTCTTTTGGTCTGGAGCACAAAATAGCTTCAAGGCCTTGAAGGTTCCTCCTGGTGTGAACAGATTCTCGCACAAAGCACATTTGAGTTACAAGTGAATTGCTATCTGGGTCCACAAGATGTGAAGTATAGGGGAGATTAGAGGGCTTTCCTTCCCCCAATTATTCCTCTTCCTCCATTACCTCAAACATAACAACCAGTTTTCCTTGGCACAATCCATGAGCCATTTAACTTGTCACCTTAATAAAAGCACATGGCATTTCTTTGTGATTTTGGTGGGATGTCCAACAGGTAATCCTGGTCCTTCCATCTCCCTTTTGTCCCATGCCCCAACTTTGGGGAAGACACTGGGTAAGGGAAATGGATGTTATATAATCTTTTACATATCCAGAACTGTAGGGAGGAGGGGGTTCTTAATTTTTTAGTACAAGTCAGGCCCTAAATCAAATTAATAGCGATAGGAAGGTGTTTTGCTTTTGCGTTGTATTTCAATTCTGGGTGTGGGGAAAATGACGTGGAAAAAAAAAACAACCCAAGTATAAATGCATCTGAAAAGCAATTATATATATAGACATATATTTTGTTATGTTACTAAAGGACCATAATTTGAATTGTATGTAAGTAGATGTGGCTGTCAGAACTTTGTGGATTGTTACACTTGATACTACTGAGCTCCTGTACATACATAAGATTAAAGCCGAAGGAATTATTTTACGGTTTAGCATGGTAATTTATGTATTGTATGTCTGAATATCCACTAAAATAAAGATTGCTAAATTATCTATCTGAGACTACTGTTGTAAAATAAATGTTTTCAATGCATATCAGTTAGTGTTTTGTCTTTGTTTAAAACTGGCTTTATTGGACATAGAGGTTCTGTTGTAGCTGAAATCAGATGGCACAGTCCTTTACACATAATAGATGGTTAGTAAATGTTGGATGATTTATAGGGTGGGTATTCTTCAATTTCTGCCCTATTAAATGTCCCAGGCCTATTAACCTATGCCTTTGGATGAGTGGAAATAATCCTGCTGAAAGTTAATAGTAGTAATAATAATAGCTTACATTTATGCACAAAATGCACAGCTTATCTTACATTCCACTGAGACCAAACTGACTGGAAAGCACACTAGATATCAAGGTTTAATACCTGACTAGTTTAATTCAACAGATTTGCTAAATTCTATTTATATATACAAGGCCCTGTGCAGACGGTCGAAACACAAAGATAGGTTATAGGTCTTGCCCTCAATGTACTTACAGACTAATAAAGCAGGGATATGATGCACAGAAATAGTTATAATATTAGGCAGAATTAATGAGCTGTGGGTAAAGAAGACCAGATAAAGTGATAGGAGAAATTTTAGGAGGCATCCATCACTCAGGTTGCATCTAGAGCACAATCAAATTAAAGTTGGCTTTAGAATTGAACCTTGAAAGTAGAGAAGTATTTTAAGATATGACAAACCATTTTGGGTGGAGAATAGCATGAACAGAAAGAGAAAGTGTAAAGTAAGTGTGGGAAAGGAGAGAGATGAGTGTCCGGTTTTGCTGAAATAAAGAGCAAGTGAAGGAATAACATGAGATTATGTTGGAGGGCTGAGCTCAGTAGGATAGAGAGTTTGTACCATGTAGACAAGAAGTAGCCACTGAAGATTTTTGAGTGAAAAGATGATGTGATCAAAGTCATGCATCAGAAAGTGTACTTGTGCTACAGAATGAAGGGTAAAGAAAAAGGTACGTGTGTGTTAGAGGCAAGAGTAGCATTAGGAAGAATAGTGTCACTGCTTACAGTAAATGGAACAGGGATAATGGTCAATAGAGAAAGAACTATTCAGTTCTTGTAGCTTTTTTTTTTCTCCCTACCAAAGAAAGTCTTCAGTCTGGGAAGGATGAGGAGGAAATAATGAATGGAATTGAAACTCAAGATAGGAAGGCAACTGGTAAGATTGAGCACCTAGCTGCAACAAGCAAGTTCAAGTCATCAGGCCTACATGGACTATATCCCAGGGTGCTCAAAGACCTAACTAATGTGTTTGCTAAAAAGCTATGGGTGATCTTTGAAAAAATGTTGAGACTCATAGGAGTAAATATGGTCCTTTTTTTCCCCCCAAAATGTGAAGGTGGTGGTGTCCAAACTATGGGATAGTAAGCTTGACTTGGATTTCTGGAAAAACTATAGAACTTCATTAAAGGAATCCAATTCAGTCAACATTTAGAAGGGTGAAGTACACTGGTTGCCTCAAGAATAGATTGTGCCAAACCTCATTTTCTCTTTTGAAAGGGTAAAGTTGTAGATATAGTATATGTGGATATCAGTGAAGACTATCATATCCCTGGGGTAAGATGGCTATGGACTAGATGAGCATTAAGAACTAGCTGAATTACCAGACCAGAAAGTAATGATTAATGGATTTATCTAACAACTCTAGTGCCCAGGAATCTGGCTTTACCCTCTGCTGTTCATTTTTAGTGACAGGAGAGTATGGTCATCACTCACTAATAACA